CATTTATTTTTAGTTGTTTTAACTACAAATTTAAATAAAACTGAAAAAAGAATGAAAAGGCAATGATACATTTACACACCTAAAATACATATATCACGAGCATGCTCACAGCTGAGAACAGAACAGGTTTGATGGAGTGGATTAGAGCCCTGCACAGCTCTCAGATAGAGGCCCGAGCTCGTCTATACTGCTGCTGTTTCAGCTATTACAATAGCTCAGGTCTGTATGTAATGGAAAAGTGATTAGATTTCATTTCGTTTTTTTATAAAGTAAATTTAGAAAAACATTTGGAGTATGTTTTGTTCGTTAAATGTAAGTTTTTGTTGTTTGAAGTAAAGGCCAGCGGCAGACAGTGAGCTGATCATAGCCTATAGCCTATGCTTGATCAGTTTAGCCTTCTCAGATCATCAGCACTTGCCTAAAATAACATCTATAGATAAAACAGTTCAAGTATATCACAATGTTAGTTTAAATGTTTAAGCTATATAGATGTGCATGTCCAGTGGTTTGTGGAGGAGTGCAGCTGAAGCTCTGCAGGACACTGAGGAGACACTGGCTTATTTTCTGAAGAGTGGAAACTTAATACTCATATTTCATAACTCATATTTGCTCATAAAGGTAAGAGTAATACGTCATTCGGAATTGAAAAGGGTCTACTTTTATTTCTGTGCACTCACAAACAATATCAACAAAAACCTGTGCTTTTGTAAAATAAAGAAGGAAAACAAACAATGATGAACCCACACGCCACACATATATCTGATAGAAACGAAATCATTCAAATAGAAAACAAAAACTCTTTCATTATGTAGGCTAATCCGTCAAGATGTATTTCTCTCTAAAGGCACGGGTCCTGAAGAGATGGAGAGTCAGGAGCTCAACTTCATCTTGTGGCACTCAGAAAACACTAGTTTATTAATAACTAATTCAAATATCTCCTATTTTATTTATTGTTTTTCTTTTTTGTGCTTCTGTGCCAAGATTGTGTTTGCATGCAGTATAAATAATGGCAGCATTTTAGTACCATGTTGAAAAATAAGATTAACATCATATTTTGAGAATAGTCAAAATTACGATAATAAAATCAGGTTATAGGCCTATTGCGTGATGTTAATGTGAGAATTCCACCTATACTCCGCAAAACATTAAACAAATAAAATAAAAAGTCTGTGGCATCCAACCTGTCGCTGTTCACATTCAACTTAAAAAACAGAAATAAAAAGTAGGCTTATTGACGTTTTTTGAAAAACTCATAATTGATGGATTTCATGAAACAGTCATTTGTATTAAATTGTTCTGATTTTTTCAACATGCATTCAAATATTAAAGAGGAAAATATAATTGATTCACATGCTGCTTGAACTGAGACGAATATAGTTATCTCACAACAAATTTAGAAGCGTAAAAACACATTTATTGTTTGTAGTATTTTATTATAAAGTTGACAGAAGGCTGTCAGATGGCCACTGGTCTGAATGCACACATATTTACAGAATACTACTAGACCACATTTCACTACTTCTTGAATCTTTTTCTACTCTAATAACCACATATCCATAACCACTAGACTTCTAAAATACATTACAAATAACCGTAATGTATTACAAGAGCATTTGGTTTTCTTCTCTTTGTCTTTTTCTGACATTTTCAACATAAAATACTCATGTAAAAGGTTATTTACAGAAAAGTGGCTTATTTGAGGTGAATTCATGATGCAGATCAGCAGAGAAACAATGAAGCCCAAGCAAACAGTGACATAACGCACATCTCCAATGTCTAAATATGCATGCGAGTAATTTCACTTACAATAATCTCAGAAAACCACACAGCTGACCTCAGCACTTGAACTGAAGCCAGACTTTTGTTAAATGTTGAGCCTGAACTCATGCTGCTTATTAGTGACTCCTACATGTTAAGTCACTGGACGGCACAATATTCCCAGAGGATGGTGTTTACAGGCGCTGAACAGTATGAACCGGACCACATGATGGCATGCAGAGCTTCTGCTGACCCGTACTGTACGACACAAGAGATGAAGATCCGTTACCCCTGAAAGCCGGTGTTAATGCTGTATTAAACTTTTAAACAGCTGAATGTGATCATGTAAGAAATTCTAATGTGTAAGATATTCATTCCTTTCTTTTTACTTTGCCTCTAAAGGCAATGAGATGTGCTGCATCAGTAATTAAAGAGAACAAAAAAAAAAAAACTATAAAATACTGACATGTACAACGGCACAACAGTTCAGCGGAGTATTTTTTTTAATTCTTACATAAACTAGAACAATACACAATTATTTACAAAATCACATGTTTTTTTTTAATACGGGCGTCGAGGAGGAGGATGGGACTGATGCAGTGATGTGGTGCGTCCGTTCTTCATCATCATCATCGGTCAGCTGACCAGTAGCCCCTCTTTACTGGCCAGACGCTGGCGGTGGATGTGGTCCTGCTCCAGCTCCTCGTGACTCGGGTGCCAGAGCCGGGCCAGAATCCTCTCCATGTTCAGGGCGTACATGCTGTGAGACGGCATCACCCGCCGCTGGACCTGCCACAAACACCAGCATGAGACCGACCGCCAGAATTGCTCAATCTATCGTAACCATAACATGTTTGCAGAATTGGTAAATTCACATCCAACAACCGCACCACCAGCACTGGCACCCCTCAGGGTTGTGTCCTCTCCCCACTGCTCTTCTCCCTCTACACCAACGACTGCACCTCTAAAGACCCCTCTGTCAAGCTCCTGAAGTATGCAGATGACACTACACTCATCGGCCTCATCAAGGATGGAGACGAGTCTGCTTACAGACAGGAGGTCGAGCAGCTGGCTGTCTGGTGCAGTCTCAACAACCTGGAGCTCAACACGCTCAAAACTGTGGAGATGACCGTGGACTTCAGGAGAAACCCCTCTGCACTCCCCCCACTCACCATCATGGACAGCACTGTGACTGCAGTGGAGTCATTCAGGTTCCTGGGCACCACAATCTCTCAGGACCTGAAGTGGGACACTCACATTGACTCCACTGTTAAAAAGGCCCAGCAGAGGTTGTACTTCCTTCGCCAGCTGAGGAGATTCAACCTGCCACAGGAGCTGCTGAAACAGTTCTACTCAGCCGTCATCGAGTCTGTTCTGTGCACTTCAATAACTGTCTGGTTTGGTTCAGCTACAAAATCAGACATCAGAAGACCTAACTTTTGCCGTCTGGTTGGTGCTACAGAGCACCGAACACCAGGACAGCCAGGCACAAGAACAGTTTCTTTCCCCAGGCAATCTACCTCATGAACAGTTAATGTTCTCCCATTGTGCAATTAAAGTACAGTATGTGCAATAACCTTATACTTATTTATCACCCTAAACCCTAGTACATCCCTACAACTTATTTTATTCCCATTCCATCTATAGCACACCTGTACATACAATTTATTCTTTTTTTTGTGGTTTATATTTATGCATGTGTATTTTATTCACATCTCACTTTTATTATCTGTGTGTTGTTGTTGTCTCCGTGAACTGGAAGCTTGTGACACTATGACAAATTCCTTGTATGTGCAAACATACTTGGCAATAAAGCTCTTTCTGATTCTGATATTTAGGAAACATGTTAAGTTCAGATACTTGTTTCTCTGGGAAACAATGCTACAGCCAGATATTCTTCTTTAAATTTTTTGGTCTGTGTGACTCTGCCCACTGTCAGTTTACCCAATAGGATTTCGACAGCCTGGGTTGCCAGTTTGCAGGAAACATGCAGCCATGGAAGCAGCAAACGAACCGGATCAAAGATCGGAGATTCTACGCAACCTAAAAACCCTCGGCATCCATCTGAGAAGCTCTGACCAGAGGATTATTAAAATACAGATAAATCAACTCTTCAGCTTACGGTGCAAGTCTCATCACCTTCCAGTGTAAATAGTGCTCGTTCCTCTTGCATGTCCTCAATCTGGCAACCCGCGTGAGCATTGAGTCTAAAGCCACGTTCACACCGCTAGACTCTGTACTGTGAAGATGCTCGTGGTGCTGACACCAGAGTCTTCTCTCCTATTGGTTGTCGCTCGCTGAATTCGCTGTTCATTTGCATAAAATTAAACTATTCTTAACTTTTGTCATTCTGTCTCCTACAGTCACTGCGCTCGTGACACTGGAAGTCGCCAGCTCTTCATTGAAAATGAATGGCATCATGTCTCTTTGTTGCTGGCGGTGTGAACGGGGCTTGAGGAGGACAGGACGAGAGAAACGAGTCTCCAATATTTAGAATTTGGACTGCAGTACCCATATATATACACTGCACACGCACCTGTAGCGCCTCCAGCAGGTCGAACACACTGATGGGCGGCAGCGACGGCGGGACACTGTCAGCAGAACACGCCAGCAGGAGCGCAGCCTGCTGCTCCGCATCATCCAGCAACAGCTGAGGAGGAGGCCCGGCGGGGAGCGATGCGCTCGCAGGAGGACTGCAACAAACACCAGACACAACACAACACATGATACATCACTGAGCCGACGTTACTGATGCTCATACAGTTATTGGACAGGGAAAGAAGACATCAGTCATCAGCTCAGCACTTCAGCTGCGTGCAGTGATGCTGTCCCACATTAAACACAGAAGTTAACGCTTCATTAGCAGAGACATGCCATTCAGTGACGCTGTGGTACGCCGGCAGACTGTTCTTCAGGTACGGCCGCAGCGTCACGTCACTGCCGAACGCATGCTGGAAGTGACCATCACGCAGACGGTAGGCTTTCCTCCGCGACACCAGAGCGCTGATGATATCCTTCAAATGCACCTGCAACACAGAGAATACAGCAGCTGATCAGGATCTGTGTTACACTAGAGCACAGCTGCACATTCATCCTCATTTACCCTCAATTCCAGTCGATTAAGAGATAAAGCCATTATTGTGCCCCCAATCACAGCTTCCCTCCTAAAAGGACACATTTTCTGCCCTGTTTAATTTATCTTCACAACCTGGCAACCATTTGCACGCTTCTTTCTTACACTGCTGATGATCTGAAAACATCGACAATCATGTAAGCTGCAGTTCAGTGATCTCTGCTGAAATGAGTCTGCCATCAAACCTCCTCACGATGAACGTGATCCTGACTGCACTGTTTGTGACGGAGGCCGAGTAATCGCTCTTACGCTCCTCTGTGCCACAATACGAAGCCTTTTTGTTGTTTTAATAGAATGACACTAAGATAATTTATGAATTAATATTAGGAATGCTTTTGCGTTTCACCAGTTTTCATAATTTTGCACGCTTCTTTCTTACACTGCTGATGATCTGAAAACATCGACAATCATGTAAGCTGCAGTTCAGTGATCTCTGCTGAAATGAGTCTGCCATCAAACCTCCTCATGATGAACGTGATCCTGACTGCACTGTTTGTGACGGAGGCCGAGTAATCGCTCTTACGCTCCTCTGTGCCACAATACGAAGCCTTTTTGTTGTTTTAATAGAATGACACTAAGATAATTTATGAATTAATATTAGGAATGCTTTTGCGTTTCACCAGTTTTCATAATGCAGAGAAACGACGAGATCGGATTTGTGCGTACAGGTGAAAGTGCTGTGATTCTGATTCTCAAATGACAACAATCATGATCAGTAATCACGATTATATAATAATTATAATTGTGATTATTTTAAACATTATGCAGCATGACTAATAAGTAACTAGACTAAAAACACACACAGACACTCTCACACACTCGCTCTCACACACACTCACACACTCTCACACACGCACGCACACACACACTCTCTCTCTCTCTCACACACACACACTCTCTCTCTCTCTCTCTCACACACACACTCTCTCTCTCTCACACACACACTCTCTCTCTCTCACACACACACTCTCTCTCTCTCACACACACTCACACACTCTCTCTCTCTCACACACACACACACACTCTCTCTCTCTCTCACACACACACACTCTCTCTCTC